AATAATAGTGTAATTGCTCAGGACTCAGGCTGCAAATAACTAGTAAGTAATAAGGACTTTGAAAGTAATTAAGTATGACTAAAGAAGCAAACCTTTGCAAACTGCTCCAGKTCCATTCAAATACTTTCCATAACCWGCTTTACATAAACACTGGCCACTTGCATAATCACTAACCCATTCACCGTTAGATTGACAACGCCCATATAAAATAGCATTGTTAGCCAATAGCTGACTATTCTCTGCACATGAGCCGAATACCAGAATTRCAYCGTGAACTGGGGCTATAGTTCGTGGCAATTGAAAGAGACTAGTAGGCCCAAGAGCTATTGATGGACAGACCAAGTAACTTATGGTGACACTGTACAACTCGAAACATCCTCCTTGATATTGTATGGCGAAGTAATGRTACGGTGTGGAAKTGCTTGTAAGAAATGAATGTGTTTCTGTATTCGCAGAACTTCGCAAAGGGAAACCGTTACTAAAGTTGGTTGCAGACGTGGTTCCGAAGATATGATAGACTTCGGGTTTTTTCCAAGGTTCAGGGATTGKRTCAAARCTGCCACCAGTTGTATGTCTTATAGCAGTCTTATAAATATAAAGGTTCAATGTTTCCTTGCGGTGTTGTAGAGACGGCAAACTAGACCATTTAGAGACTGCATATTCAACAGTAACATCAATTATTRTTGCATCACCAACCAGGAACACATTGCTTCTTATCCACTTGKTTGTATTACTATCTGGGTGTTCACATTGATGATAAAATGGTTTTCCATCRTCTCTCCGTTYCCACTATTGAAAATAAAAACAAATACACTATGGTGTATATATGTCAGTGCKCAYCATTTTTAACACTAAAATATTTGATAACCATGAAACGAAAGCAAGCCTTTTTTCAAAACTTAATTGGAGTAAATATCAAGGACCAGTAGGAGTAATTCTAATATCTTTAAACGTTTTCCTGAATTACGTCATATACTCTACTTGTGTAAACATCAGCTCATAATGAGGCCCAGCATACTTCAAGTAATCAAAATCGTGGGGATATATCATATCATTGTAGTGCAATTTCTTTTTTTTTACCTGGCTGGTCCAAGACCATATCCATTTAGACTGTGAATTCTTTTGAGGCACTTCAATTATAGTTTCTAGTATAAACAAATGTACACCTACTTGCAGAAACGTTGTCATAGAAAATAGAACATTCGTATTTAGTTAAAAGGAATAAATTAAAACAAGACAAAAGAAAGCGTTCAGCTTCAGTGATCTTCTTTTGTCTTTTTAATGTATTCCTTTTTTACTAAATACAAAAGTCCTATTTTTTATGACAACGTTTTCGCAAGTAGGTGTATACGTACGTATTTAGGTCTCATTTACTGAACAGATACAGTACGTCATTGATACATCAACTAACAATTCTTGAACTCATTAATTAAGTCATGGTCCAGGAGTAACAAGGCTATCAAAAGGGCATATATCAACATTTACATCTATTGCGCCGTATATTCTAAATAAACTTTTTTTGTAAAGCATACCTTTTCCAGCTTCACTACATGCCACGAATATAAATACGAGAATAAAACTTGAAGTACACATGCAGTTCATGGTAACAAACAAACAAAACTGAAGAAAAAAAAATTACGTTATACTCATTATTGAGCTATTTCTTAAACTACTCCGTTATAAGTTAAATTTATCTTATATCTATCTCTTGATTCATTCAGTTAACTATTGAACTATTTCCTCATGTTTTTATTTGATATTTCACTAGAGCAAACACATGACAACTAAATACTAAAAAATAGCGGTTATTTAGAGACAATTTGTCAGTATCAATGAGCCAGAACGCAATAAAGATGAATTACTAATAAAGATGATTGCTATTTGTTAGTATTTAGTTTGATTTTATTTCATGGTTTTTCTGCGCCAGCTCTAAAACTGTCAAATGCTCATCTGCTTTCTGAGTTTCTGAGTAAGAATGTTTGTGGTTTGTGGTGACAGAAATTTGCATAGTTGTGCTGTAGAATATGTTCCCCAAAGCTTCACAGACGTTAATGGGTGTAAAAAGAACTAAAAGACTAGAGTATTTAATCCGTGAAATAAACACTAAATATTCCTTAATAATTAGCCACGTCCTCACGTCACTATGTCATCGAACATGAGTGAGTGAGTGAGTTAAAATATCTGTAACCAAATCGAAGTACTTTCGACCAAATCGAAGTACTTCTGGATTACGAGCATGTACGAAATAGTCTACGAAATTCCGACGACTGAAATTTACGAGGAAAAACTGATTTGACCTRACCATGTGCTTTTCTGGGTCTGACAGCGACTTGTTGCTAAGGTGAGCTGTTCTTATTTTTCGTTTAAATAGTTGAGAAATATGTGAGCCGTGCGTTTATGCACCCGTATTCCTCGGAGCTCAACTAGCCAGCTACACTTTCTAACCGCTAGAAAATGCTGCTGGAAAGTTCTGTTTTTGTAGCCAAAGTCTCATGTTAAAATGGTACGTATCTCACAAACGTTCCGTACAAGCGATAAACCCCTCTTGCGGTTTATTTTGAGCTTCAACTGAAGYAAAGGATATATTTACAGTCAAAAAACTTGAAGTGCGSCCTGGAATAGTTCGTTGTATTCAATGCTGCACTATTGGATTTTTCATTTTATTTTTCATTTTCAAACTTTAGTAGATTAATGCAAAATTATATTAAAATGTCGAACTCTGATAATGACAGAAAACAACACAGCATTTCCAGCTTTTTGAGACCGTCATTACTTTCAGTCTAACGAGAAGGAACAGATCCACYCAATGTCTTTCGAGTAATTACATTACATGTAAAAGTGCGTCTTGTCTTGTTTGTTTTTTTAGCTTAAACTTCTATAATAAACTCGTTCATTTGCGTACTGAATATTGGTTATTTTCACTTTAGCCTTATGATGTCTTCTGTCATAATTTTGCTGCAGCGCAGAGAATTGAGACTCCGAACGCGTTCCCTCTCGTAGATTGAACGGGTGCAACTSTACAAAATYTAAGTAGTACTAATTTGTACTAAAAGTGGACCTGAAACAAGACGGTATTGAATGCTTCATTTGTATCAATTCAWTTGAATTTGCGTATCGCATGCACGATTTACTAAATACACCTAAACATCACTATTTAGTTTGTACAGTTGCGCGGATTAAGCGTGATCACTCTATCGCATGCACGATTTACTAAATACACCTAAACGTCACTATTTAGCCGTTTGTACAGTTTCACGGATTAAGTGCGATCACTCTATTGTGTGATTATTTCAGCTTTAGATGTGTCTTGTGTCCTGATTTTGCAGCAGCGCAAAAAATTATTRCTTTTTTAAACGCGTTTTCTTAAGTATGAATGACTTTATTTGATTCTTCTGTATTTAATGTCTCMTGAGTATTGAGCTATAAGTTGATTCGCTTGATTCTATCATCTAGTACAAAATAGTGACTAATTGTYAAAAACCATTTCGTTCTTATTTCAMGGATTAAATAAAATTGCTCTATTGATATATAACAAAGCTATTAGTTTAAGGCAATGTCTGAATAAGGATGACAGAAATATTTGTGTCGTAATTAATTTAAATTGAAAATTTCCTTTTTGTTAATAAGACATAATATTGACCTACCTCAAATTATCATTTCAAKACTGTTCTTAGATTTTCAAAACTAATTGATCGAAAGTATAACATGAAGCAATAATGTTGCACTATCCTCAATAACTTTCAGCTTTCGTAAGGATCCGTTATATATGAAGAAACGAGCTCTTACTGGACGGTGAGTGATTTACCCGGAAGCTTGTTATGCATTGCTGTTATTTCCGTAGCACAGGAAGCCCATGACTTGTATGGATATGTGGTTACGGCGTGTGAGATTCAAGGAGAACAGAGTGATGATTGGAAAAAGTGAGAAATGACTGAAGGAATGCAGAGGTTGAATTAATAGGTGATATTATTTTGTATATTATCAAATACGTACGATAACAAAATATATTTTGAATTATATATGATTTATTTCAGGCCTTTCTTCGTGTACCGGAATCTATTGTATTCTGGTTAGGGTTCATTGTATTTCGGGGTATTGTTGAGATTCTGTTCCATTGTTGAAACCCTTTTTTCTATTGCTTGAATTACGTAATCTGTCCTCCGGTACACGAAATAAAAGCCTTTATTTCATATGTGTAATTTGAAGCTGACGAAGTCCCATACAAAATCTTGTTATGTCACGTGTATACGTGAAAACGAGCTTCCTACACAATCCTACTCTATGTACTTTTACTTAAAAGTTTAATTTCTTGCAGCTGAGGAGGAAAGCTGCAATTACAGCGATTTTAACTTAAGGGAGCGCTAAGATGTTGATGTGATGAAGAGTAGGTCCCATTGAAAAAGCAGTAAAGGTCATTCTAKCTGTTTTGAATATTATTCTACAAATTTTCCATGAGTCAGTGTGCTATGAGATGATGCTCCATGAGGCCAAACTTTCTGCAAGCCGTCCATTTATTTTTAAAGGACATCGAAGTTGACGTACAAAGCATCTTCAAACACGTCAAGGTCGATATAATCCTGGAACAAAAAGCAAATTTTAGTTCTTTATATAAAAATCGTTATGCTTCGAGTCGCATGGATTTGTGTGAGGGGGTTTTAACTAGAGCTATTTATTGAGATAAAATGAAACCAAGGGTTAGTTGTTTGGCATGAATTGTTAAAATGTACACTCAGCGATTGTATATAATCTTCACTTGCTCTTGTATAAAAAAGGAAAACACACCTTAGTTGTGTTATAGTATTGATTGACTTCATCACATATCATGGTAAAGGAAGGTCTGTCCTCGGGTTTGTCTTGCCAGCATCTTAACATCAATGAGTATCTGAAATAATATAAAGAGAGTATGGCAAAGTATGTTAAATGTTAGATGACTTTTGAAATTTATGTCATTTGAATACTTATGCCAGTTCTGGACGAATCCAGTGTTCATGAATGAAATGGATTGAGTCTGTTACCAATGAATGCATTGACAATGAATAATCACATCCATAGTCTAAGAACTTTATTAAAACATTGACTTGAATTCATAGCTCATGAGTCAGACTTATATGTTCACTAATGTAATCGTATGAGGAAGTAGCTGATCCCATTAAAGAGTGCTCAATACACATAAAGTGTAGAGCTAGTTATATAAATGATATCAAAGAGGCAAGATTTTGCTGTAACTCCGAGTTTCTTGCTACGCACTCATCAGACATTATTTAATACTGATTATTACAGATTAAATACTGTCTGTTGAGTGCGTAGCACGAAACTCGGAAATACAGCAAAATCTTGTCTCTTTGATATCATATATATGTTCACTAATGTATATAAAAAAATCATGTCTGTGATATGATCTAGTAACATTGGCCTCGCATTTTTCTCAAAAATCCTTATATCAGCAACTTATGTGTGGGAAAGTTATCACTCTTTCAGTCATTTCTTTTAAAGAAAAAACTATTTATGTTAAAGACTGTTAAGGCCCATGTACATACGGTTGTCACTATACGTTGTAAAATTTATATCAAACTCGATCACTTCATTTCTATAATCTTATGATCAAGTAGCTTCCAATATGTAAATTCAACTCACAGATTCTCTGATAGGTGGAGTGGCTTTGGCATTCTGTAGCCTTGTTGCATCAGTCTTGGTATGTCTTTCCCGTTGTATTTAGGATAAGGAGAATCACCTGATTGAAGACACAGCAACAAATGTGACATCAGTATTAA